GGGTACCCTCATCTAGTATAAATATAATTCCTTAACGGATACCCTCATCTAGTATAAATATAATTTGTTAACGGATACCCTCATCTAGTATAAATATAATTTGTTAACGGATACCCTCATCTAGTATAAATATAATTTGTTAACGGGTGCCCTCATCTAGCATAAATATAATTCGTTAACGGATACCCTCATCTACTATAAATATAATTCCTTAACGGATACCCTCATCTAATATAAATATAATTTGTTAACGGGTACCCTCATCTAGTATAAATATAATTCGTTAACGGATACCCTCATCTAGTATAAATATAATTCGTTAACGGGTACCCTCATCTAGTATAAATATAATTCGTTAACGGATACCCTCATCTAGTATAAATATAATTCGTTAACGGGTACCCTCAACTAGTATAAATATAAAAAGGCTTTGGGGACACAAATTTGTGCGATTGCACGTAACTGTTTTATCACTTGGGTTGGTTGCTCAAAGCTACACAATGGGCTATCTGTGCTCTGCCCACCACAGGAATCGAAACCCGATCGTTCACTTCGTAATTCGGCAGACCTGCCGTTGAGTCACTGGGGTTTAGTCACTTGGTTTGCACATAGTTGTGTACTTATCCGTTTTATCACGTAGTTTACACGTTGGTGAATACGTCACCATATTATCACTTGGTTTACATATTAATGAATACTTAACCATTCTATCACTTGGTTTACACGTTAGTTAATACGTCACCATTCTATCACTTGGTTTACACGTTAGTTAATACGTCACCATTCTATCACTTGGTTTACACGTTAGTTAATACGTCACCATTCTATCACTTGATTTACATGTTAGTGAATACGTCACCATATTATCACTTGGTTTACACGTTAGTGAATACGTAACCATTTTATCACTTGGTTCACATATTAATGAATACGTAACCATTTTATCACTTGGTTTACATATTAATGAATACGTAACCATTTTATCACTTCGTTGAAATTTTTAGAACAAGGTTTGTCCAACCATTTTGGGATATGACGTATTCTCGACATTCCAATCGCCTGAAGTGTCAAACGGAATAAATCACATTACTAATTAAGCTTGTAGCTTTGTATATAACCCTAAATCTGTCCAGCTAATTCATTCCACAGCATAAACCCTGAATCTGTTCAACTAATTCCTCCCACAGTTTAAACCCTGACTCTGTCCAGCTAATTTCTCCCACAGCATAAACCATGAATCTGTTCAACTAATCTCTCCCACATGTTTAAACCCCGAATCTGTTCAACTAATTCCTCCCACAGCATAAACCCTGAATCTGTTCAACTAATTCCTCCCACAGTTTAAAACCTGAATCTGTCCAGCTAATTCCTCCAACAGTTTAAACCCTGAATCTGTTCATCTAATTCCTCCCATAGTTTAAGTCCTGAATCTGTCCAGCTGATTCCTCCCACAGCTTAAACCCTGAATCTTTCCATCTAATTCCTCTCACAGTTTAAATATTGCATCTGTCTAGCTAATTCCTACTACAATTTAAACCCTGAATATGGCTAGCTAATTCATCCCGCAATTTAAGCCCTGAAGCTGTCTAGCTAATTCATCCCGCAATTTAAGCCCTGAATATGTCTAGCTAATTCGTCCCGCAATTTAAGCCCTGAATATGGCTAGCTTATTCCTTCCGCAATTTAAGCCCTGCATATGTCTAACTAATTCGTCCCGCAATTTAGGCCCTGAATATGGCTAGCTAATTCGTCCCGCAATTTAAGCCCTGGATCTGTCTAGCTAATTCCTCCCATAAACATGACAGGCGGACTCGGGGGGGGGCCCGCGGCGTTTTCTTCTCTATATGGCATAAAACGCCCCCGAAAACCCTTGATGGGGTTTAAGAGTAGATTTTCAGGGACGCTGGACTTGAATAAGGCAACGAATTTTGTGTCTCTTATTCCCTGGGATTCTGAGGTGCCATATTTGAAACTGTATTTATTCACAAGCTAGTGGGACCAAACATGTTACACGTACTTAATTAGTACCATGAGCGGATGTCCTGATGTTTTTTTTTTGGACACAGACCACCGTTGGAGTAGCTGAAGAAGAAATAACTGGGGAGATTTAAGAGTTTAATCCGCACACTAAGGCCTATGTGAAATACTCCGCTTTTAACTCCGCAGCGGAGTGAGAGTATTTTATATTGTTTTTCACTAAGATATCGAATTATATAATCTAGAAACAAGCACAACACCACAGTTAGAAGTAATGTTTTTCTCGTTCACCAGTCTGTTTCTTAATCCTCAGGCTGCTCTGGAAACACTGACAGTTTTATCTCTTCGTACTAATGTTTATCACACGTTTCGAAATACGTTGGTTTTCTATATCGTTTTTTAATATTTGTCATGTTTAGTTTTTTGTTATGCATGATTCCACATTTTTTCGTAGATGTATATACACATTCTGACGTTATTAATAAAGCTATAACTCGAGGCAGATTTCCGTAAATGATCCGGGCGACCAAATTGAAGTTTTATTTATTTATACGTGAAAGCAAGTAATAATAATAATTTTCCAACAAAATAAGAGAGAGAGAGAAAACTTGAAATTCTGAGGAGATGTTTTTATGTTATATATATTGTAATATAAGAGTGAGTTTAAAAAGTTTCATCTCCATGCAACGAAATAAATATCTTAATTGTTTGTGAGGCTTATTTTAACATGGAAGCATAATATCTTGTGGGTTTATAAAATCACATAACACAACAGTTAGCAATGCAAGAGTTGTAGAGGCTTCAAACTTTACATCTGTTGCCTTTATAACTAACTCTTAATTAACTAATCACGATGTCTGTTACTTTGTAATGCTGTATATGTATCCTGACTACTGTTTCTTTGTAAAGTTATGTATATATACTCTCTAATTAACATAAGTACTTGTTGGCAGAGGACTTTGATTTCCACTAACGCTATTGTATGACGCATAACTCAATTCGTCATTTATAGTGGTGTTTGTTGCTTAGCAACGCTACTCTTGACGAATACTGGTGTTTGTTTTCACATTCTCACGTCGTTAACTTTCTATTTCCGATTCATTTCACTCATTCAGAGTGGCAAAAAATATATAACGTTTGAAGCAGCAGTCTAGATACACTTAAACTGCACATTCAACAGTAAATATGTCATAAAAGTATGAAACGTGTAGTTTCCTTATAAAATTCAAACCCCGTATCTACTTAGATAAAAAAAAATTGAGACACGTTTGGAGCTTTTTCGTTTCTTAAGAGTTCTTTTCCTAGATCAGATTTTTTTTCTTATGTTTTAAATTTAACGAATATTTCTAGAGTACTTGAAAATCACAACTCCATAAGCACCCTTTTTAAAAAAAGTTTTTGATCTGACAGACCTCATTCAACCGTAATGATGTTACATGTAATAATGTTGCGGAGTTTTGTGTTTCCTTTTCAGATATATTGATTTACTCGTCTATGGGTTCCGCAGTCGACGGCTCCGCAAACAAAAGAGGAGAAGAGAGCAAAACTGGCACCTTTCTTACCGACAGCCATCACCAGTAAGGATAGAACAGCCGAAAGAAGTTAACTACCATCTACTGATGATTCAAGAAGACAGAGACACTGCGCTTCTTGCACTGTTAGAGAGTTTCATGGAATCAGCACCTCAACTACTACTTCAGGTTTACATTCTAGCCCAGCGTGAAAAGGTTCCCACTGATCTTCTTACAGGTATAGCTTGTCGGGGAGTTTTAATTCCCCGTTTTTAAAGACATTTATCATAAGAATATCGACTGTTTATCTTATATTACCAATTACAAAAACTATCTCCATGAGATTTATTTTAACATATGTAGAGCATGCTGTCATTGAATCATTTTGCTTAATTATACAAATTATGTTTTATTCTCACTACACTTTTTTCTCATCTATTAATGTCGAATTTGAATAATCTTAAGAGCCTGATATATATTAATTGAAACTTATCATCAATATTTTCGTGTTCTTTATCTTCTCAGGCGATAAGAAGTATGATATCAAGAAGTATTTACCAAAATCTCTTTCTTAATACCTCCGTGTAACTTAACTGGAAGAACTAAAAATTGCTTTGTCACTTCAACCAGATCAATTCCGTGTAACTTAACTGGAAGAATTAAAATTGTTTTGTCACTTCAACCAGATCAATTCCGTGTAACTTAACTGGAAGAATTAAAATTGTTTTGTTACTTCAACCAGATCAATTCCGTATAACTTAACTGGAAGAATTAAAAATTGTTTTGTCACTTCAACCAGATCAATTCCGTGTAACTTAGCTGGAAGAATTAAAAATTGTTTTGTCACTTCAACCAGATCAATTCCATGTAACTTAACTGGAAGAATTAAAAATAGCTTTGTTACTTCAACCAGATCAATTCCGTGTAACTTAACTGGAAGAATTAAAAATCGTTTCGTCACTTCAACCAGATCAATTCTGTCCCAGATGTTTTTTGTTTTTTGTTAGTTTGCTTGCACCATTTCAGATCTATATGTGTCCATGTTGTTTTTCAGTATGCTTGCAGGTGGCTTCTGTGTGTTCTTCATTGTTTGAATTATCCTGGGCTTTGGCCTTTTACCAACGTGCTCTTCGGCGGTCAGTGCTAGACAAGAAAAACATGACTCGAACTGGAACTGCTCTTCAGTTTCTGTGGCGTTTTTGTACCATCGGAGCACGTGTGTTTGCACTAGCGCTGTTTGCCTCACAGTACAAGTTATGGCTAGTGCCAGTATGTGTGGGACACTGGGGTATCATGACCGTTTGGATCATGCACCAACAAACTCATTTCTGTGATAGCGAAACGGGGGAACAACGTCAGTGTGAGGAATACCTTTTCAACATGGTCATCGGGGCAATTTATCTTTTTTGCTTTCTCAACGTGAAGGACGAACCTACAAGGTACAAGGTCACCACATATTACGTAGTGGTTTTTGTAGAAAACGCCACTCTGATTGCATTGTGGTACATACGAACAGATCCCAGTGTGTGGTATCACCTACCTGCTCTTGTTGGTGTGTTTGCTAGTTTTCTATTTGGTGTAAGTATCATGATGGTTTACTACCGCTGTTGTCACCCCAATGGCAAACTTCCAGCAAAGGACCGTCGGGCAGGATGCTGTTGATTCAACACCCACCGCTTACCGAAGAAACCCGATATTCCACAGTTACGACAAAACAATAAGGAGCTTTTAAAAAAAGATAGAAGAAAACAAAGACGGTTAAAATGTTGTTGAAAAGACTGTGATAAATACTAGAGTATACTCGAAATTTAAACAACTTAGTAAAAAAACTGTGAAGGTTGATCTGGAAACAATCATCTGTATTTCTACAGTTGTCATGGTAACGTAATCCAAACCCTTTCTAGTGAGATTATATATGTACACGTATACACACATAACTTTACAGGCACTTGCTGTCTTTCTGTATTTTTAATGAGAACTGTGAAAAAAATATTTGTTTCACATTGTAATTAAAAACTGCAAAAATAAAGTTAATTGCACTGTTATGTTGACCATGAAAGAGTTATTTACATATTTATGTTCAACTAACTGGTACGGTACGCGTGGTTTGCTTAAAGTTACTGCTACCAATAATCATCTAAAAAGACCTTTTTAAAAGTACAAAGAAGCAATGACTTACATGAAATCAATTTTCATGAAAGGTAGATAATAAGATAACTCGTGACGATAACTGACCAGACTAAAACTATCACAGTCACTTGATTCAACCATCTACGATTTTGAAATTAACAGTGTTGTGGAAATTTTAAGTTTAAAATTTTCAAATACAGAATTAACACTAAAGTTAAAAAAAACTTCCCTTGAGTTGTCAGATTCTATAAAACAAAAACACCGTTTAAAATGCTACCATCTTGTGTTTTCCATCTCAAAAACAATTCTTGAAAATTTGCAATTTATTAACTGTAACCAATAAGTTGCGTATCACAGAAATATTGCCCCTCAGTGGCACAGCGGTATGTCTGCGGACTTATAACGCTAGAATCCGGGTTTCGATACTCGTGGTGTGCAGAGCACAGATAGCCCATCGTCTAGCTTTGTGCTTAATTTCAAAACAAACAAACACAAAAACACTGTGGTATACTTATAACATCAGGTCTTCTATGATTGGTTTAGTTTAAGCTGCATAATGATCTATATGCTTTATGCCCTCTGCAGGATTCGAACCACGATTTTTTGCATTATAAACTTTCAAGCCTATCGCTGAGCTACTGAAGGCATGATTTACGATGAAAAAAATAGTGTTCGAAATGTCTTCAAAATTATTTTTAATTATTTTAAAATGTTTGTTAGCAGTAAAACATTCTGCACGGTAAGCAACATTCTATTATGAAAAACCTTAAACTTCTTGCCTTTTGCTACCAGCATAGGCGTAGTTTTCATGTCCCCCTATTTTTTTTAGCCGTGGCATAGCGGCTCACTGAATACCTCTGAATTTTTTTGTTTGTTTTTTCAAGTACAACTTTTAGCTCATAGCTCCGTCATCTCTTCACCGATTTGAGATATAATTACAATTTTGGACTCAGGGGGTCAAACCCTTTAGATTGATGTATTTGACCAAGTCTAAGGTCTCATAGATTAATTTACTCTAATCCTGCTTAAATGAATTTCAATTTGAGGGTAGACTGATAGAGATCATGATGAGTAATAAAATTGAATCGGGTATACGCACGCTCCACGCTTGGTATTCCTGACGCACAAAAATATAGCTTAATAAAAAGAAAAAACAAACAAAGGTCTTATAGATTAATTTACTCTAATTCTGCCTCAAATAATTTCAAGTGCCGCGGCTATTGAGGTTTCCCTCTTGTTCAAGTATAGAATAATTTTTTGATGGAATATCATGATGCATACACCAGGTACAGAAATTGTCCGCCTCACTTTTGAAACCAAAATAAATTAGCTACATTCTACCTTGCTCAAATTATACAAAGTTAACCACAATAAGATAGTAATTTTTGATTGTTCGTTTGTAATTAAGCGCAACGCTACACAATGGACTATCTGCGCTTTGCCCACCACAGGTATCGAAACCTGGTTTCTATCGTTGTAAGTCCGCAGACATACCGCTGTGCCACTGGGGAGCAGTAATTTTTAAAATCAAGCTTAAGATGACCGGTGGCTACAGAGGATCAGTCCTGCACAAATGTATAACTCCTGTGACTTGTAATAGAATTTATCACTAAATGATGGTTGTTTGTTTTCAATATCTATGAAATTTAAAGGTGCACGAATACTCTCATAATAGCTACGTATCCGGCATTTACAAAAAAACAACAACCATACAAAAAAAGAAATGAACACTTAGTAACATGTCAGTAATTAGTGTTCGGCATTATAATGAATGTTGTTGGACACTTGATAGCATTTCAGCATTAGCGGTAAGGATGTTTGTTTGTTTGTTCTGTTTGCAAAGCTACACAAAAAGATATTTGTGCATAGCCATTCCTAATTCTGATCCGATAAGCTAAATGGAAGGCAGCTAATCAATAAGATCCACCGCCAACTCTTGTCTCATCGAATATGGGATTTGGCTGTCACTCTTACAGCTCATCTTCCACCCAAATTGCGAAGCTTGTGTATACGGCAACGGGTCGCGGACCATAAACCCTTGGATTCGCGATCCGGGCACACTAACCGCAAGGCCATTGTAATAACACTAGGTTCCAAAATCTAACATACAGAAAGATAAATGCAGCAGTTTTTCGGTGGATAAATGAAGAGGCAAGACTTGGTGTAGTAACAAATAAAAACATGATGACGGAAAGTCACCACGTGACTAGCTGAAGAAAGCGGGAAATTATACACTGTAGATGTTTGGAGCGAAATAAACTACTGGAAAGTAGGAAAAAAAAGCATCAAAACTGTATTTATATGGAAATAAAACTGTAGTTAACATGAACTGGGTTTGGTTGAATCAATACGTAGATGTGAACTAAAACCCATGATGACATTTTGCAGTCGGTAGAGCTAAACAACAACAAAAATTGACAACTACAGGACAACACGTCTTGGTTCTTTCAAAGTCGAAAAACGAATCTCTGAAAACGCCGAGCGTGGTCCAGTGGTCAGCGAGGTTTCCGTGGTTTACGTCCCTGATATAAATGTTATGATGAAATCCCTTTATTTGAATAGAGTAGCACACTAGTTGGCGGCATGTGGAGTTGACTAGCTGCCTCCTCTTTAAAATTAGGGACGAATATCGCAAATCGCTCTCGATTAGCTTTGCGTGAAATTCAACAAACAACGCTTACGAGCCACATTCTCTCCACAGATGACCAATTATTATATTACGAAACTAGTCATTTGGTGGTATTTCTCACATCATGCAACAGTCATAACATAGCTACACAATATAATAATGTTAGATACAATATTACTATTTCATGAGGTAATGTACAGCACACTTCACTGAGTCCTGCCATAGAGAATAACACCTAGGCCTAATTTCCTTAGATAAAATTTATCAAATTATGACTAGAAAATTAACATTTTGTTATTATATTGAATATGTAAACTTTATGTATGATAATGGGATATAATATACCTGCATATCATAGTTTGATAATATTTCAGACATGGGTGTTTTGTAGGTAATAAACGAAGTTGAACGTTTTGTAACGTATCAAATACTCTGTTAATTCATCACGTCGTAAACAAACAATACCTTTCGTTTGTTGTTGAGCGCAACGTTACACAATGGGCTATCTGTGCTGTGCCCACCACGGGTATCAAAACTCGGTTTTTAGCGTTATAAGTCTTCAGACTTACCGTTGAGCCAGTAGGAGGGAGGGGGTTAAGAAGTCAGAAACGGTACTAGAAACACTTACAAAATTAATAGCAGCTTTCTGAACTTAAGGAAGATCCTAGTCTATGTACAACTACGGTTTCCTTAACTTATACATTCTGTTCTCTCTAGTCTGTAGCAATGGTATCAAAATGCGATAAGCTAACCGAGGTTTGACAAGAAAACAACCTTTAGTATTCTTGGGTACGAACATTTAATCCACAAGCAACTGGAAAATGCTACTATAATCAAATATTACGTATGTGGGTGTGTGTGGAGAACGAAGCTAAAAATAATAACCGAGGATATGAATATATAGCTAGTTACAATCCTGTCGGGGGAAGAACGAGACGAAAGATATGGGATAGGGATTGTAGAGATTAGTTGTTTCAGAATTTTCACGTAAAGCTAAACAAACGTCTACCTGTGCAAATTTTGAACCGGCAGACTAGTGGAATGGGAATAGTCAACAGCACCCATTGCCAATTCTTGGGATACTACTGTTTGACTAAATTTACCGTCACTCTTATAATGCACCCACGCCCCCAAAATTCGGGGCGCAGGTTTTTTGGAAACGAAATGCGAACCATAAATTCTCGGATTCACAGTCTGAGCGCCTTAACCACCAGACCACAACCAGCCCTAGATCAAAGATACTAAGCCAAAGGTATAATAATAATAAAACAAGTGTTTTTATTACATTGAACGTTAAAGTCAACACTAAGCTGAGTGTTACAGGAAATTAATACATATTTTACACTTTAACTGAATTTAGAAAAAATAAACATAATTTGTACATGTGAATAGGATATCGTCTAGAGTGTACTTTGGTGATACAATTATGATCAAGCTAGAGAGTGCTCATGACAGCAAATTTTGGGACTGTAGCTTGTGCACCTGCTGTTGCAAGAGTTGTGTAATAAACTACAACAGAAATGTAATTCTCTTGTAGAAATGATTCAGAACTAGTGAGAATAATAGGACTAGGGGACACAAATATAAATTTTGGCAGAGTAGGAATTATTTTCAGCTAAGATAGTTTTATTTTTTTAAGAGGGTGGTTGGCCTTTGGAATGGATTGTCTTCAGGTGTTGTGGAGAATGTACATTTAAATGAGTTTAAGAGAAAGTTTGATAAGTATATGAATGATAAGGGCTGGCTTTAAGATGTTTTTTTTTCATTTATTAATTAATAGTTTTAGTTTAGTTTAGAGGATGGGACAGCCGAAGTGGACCAATAGATCTTATGTTGTCCCAAAACATTATGTTATGTTTTTTAAAGCTATATAAGTATTTTGACAAGATGATGTTTAAAACTGTTCTTGGTAATTTTACCAAATACGATTATACAAGAGTCAGAATATATAGTCTGTATTCTTTTCCTTCAATTATTGATTTGTAATTTGTTTCAAAAATTCCCATATAAAAAGGCGTCATATCGACAAACGTGTTGACGGCACATAATGGGTAATGCTTGAAAGACCATAGAAGTTGTTGGCCTTGATACGTGAAATCTTAAATAAAACAGTGGGGAAATTTGTCCCCGTCAACGAAAACTTCGAGTCTTTGTTAATTCGTTTTTCTTTAAATAAAAGCTACTATGCATCAATACACTGCTTAAATATGCGCGTAATTCAAGTAAAGAACCACTAAAATGTTTTGATCTTGGAA